AATTCTTGAAACCTTCCTGGAGGGCCTAGCATCTCCCTTCAAATCCAAGTTCTCCAGCGATGCCCATGGCCAAGCCCTGACAAGGAAGCAGTCCCTCAGATCAAACATTGCCACCGGGAGGAATCTCAGCCACTATTGCCCTCAAAACTGACATTTGAACTGGCTCATGGAATCATAGAGACCCCGGCTAAGCAGAAGACAACCAGGTCTGGCGGTCGTTATGACTGGCCTGCTTCACCTGCAAGAGGACCTCGTCCTTCTGGGAGTTTTTGATGCAGAGGTTGACGACCCTCGGCCAAACATCCGTCTGGGGACGGGATGGAACACACCAACTGCTAGCTTCCTCCTGAGTTCCCGTAAGACAAACTAAGAAAGGATTACTTCCCTTGGACTCCCCTTAGCCAGCTAAAGGACAAAGAGGATTCACAATTTTGAGAAACAAAGACGTATCGCTCCCTTCACCGTTGCATCTGAAAGGCCTTCACCTTGTGAGGCAACGCAACCCTGCCTGCCATTGCCACGTTGACAAAGGTTGAAAGACCAGTTGAGCCCTGAGCAAAAAAACACCTGTTGTCCGTAAGCCCACGCTTGAGTCGTCATCGAAACCTGGTGCTAGAATGGTCTGCCCAAAACCATGTAAAGATGTCAACGGGCGCATATCCGCCCCAACTTCTTGTTTGGACTATCCCTGATTTTCATCTAGCCGGGTTTTGCTTGCGGCTCACTTGGAGCTCAGCATCCAACCAAAAGCATGTCTGGATTTCGTTTCCGCACTCCGAACTCCCGTGCTACTCCTTTCAAGACGAGAGTCTCTGAAACGACGCAGCCCTCGCCGTTCCTCGGCGTCTCGAACAACGCGATGGCACTTCGCAAAACGACTGCCGGCTGCGCGTACCGAACAAAGTAGAAGTTGTTGCGCACATTTCTACACGCCACGCAGACAACAATTCCAGCTAGCGCAAAGCAAGGGGTCAAGGGGATATGGCCCACTCAACGTTCACATGCAGCGCCACAATACTTCTCTTTCGAACAGCGGGACCTGGCTTGGCAGTGCGTCAAAATTCGCGAGTCCTCTCACTGGCTGGCGTCTTCCTCAGAGCAACTGAATAGGAAAGCAGGGGCGCGCCCATTTGGGTGCTTTTTTGGTGGCATCCTCAGTGCACGCAGCGACTCCGCGTTGGGTTCAGCAAAGCCGAACTCTTTCTTGGAGTGCCAGATTCGCATACCAAGAGAAAATCGGAACCGCCTTTTTGCCCACACTCCCCAAAAAGTTGGGATAGTCCAAACAAGGCCCTGAAACAGCCTGAATTGGATTGGGAAGCTTGCCAGTCTACTGGAAGATGGAACCCCACGTGTTCCAATTTTGGGTTGCCCTTTAGGTCCCAAAAGGACCACCCGCAGAACAAAACATAAGGTTCGGGGCAACCCCTCCTGAAACTCTAGCCCTAAGTCTCTCCGAACCACTTGCAAGATGGGGAACAAAAAGGGTGGCCAGTCCATACATGCCCCCCATCTCAGAAAAACAGATCCAACGATCCGCGTGCAGAGAAGCAACTTTATGAACAAATACAATTGTCCATTGAGCAAAATGGGCCCTTCATAAAAAAAAGGAGAAACCAACAAAAAAAAACACAATCCCCCCCCCCCTTCCAGTCAGGCTTTGGCTTTTGGACTCAACAAAAACAGTGGATCCTCATTTCTCTTTGAAACCAAACCTGCTCTCGATGCACCTTTTTGGGGTTCGAGGCCTGGTGCAAAACATGGAAAATAACATGACACCGACCAAACCAACCAAACCCCCTCCTTTCTTTTTCCGGAGGCGCTCGCCCTTGCCGAGCCGGACCTCGCCCTTTATCAGTTCCTCGGAGAACTCCTTCAGCGACTTGGCGCCGTCGCGGCCGTACGCGCTCACCTCGGTTGGGGCCGGGTTTGTGGGCGGGGTTGGGGCTTGGGGAGTTGGGGGTGTTTGGGGTGTTTGTGTGTTGGGTTTGGGGTGTTTGGGGGGGAGTTTGGGTGTTTGGAGGCGGATTGGGGGGGAGTTGTTTGGGGGGGGGGAGTTTGGGGTGTTTGGGGGGCCGAAAGCAAGCGCGGGACCTGAGAGAGAAAAGGGTCCCTGAGGAAAACTGCGGTTCCACATTTGCTTGGAGACAAATAACCCCCTCCCCTAACCCTGGGGAAACTCAAAGGCATAAGGAAGGGATCGAACGACAGATGGGCAATCACAGTCACAAGGGAGTACAGTGGGGGTCAAGCGTTTGCTTGGCTAACCTTTGAATGGTCAGTAGGTCCGTAGGTGGTCACTGGGCGGGTTGAAGGGGTTGAAGCGCGGAGTCAAAGCGCGCAGGTCGGGCCTGGAAACTTGTGATTGATTGGAACCTCAAGTCCCACAACACAAATCCAGAAGTTGCTGTTCTACTGGGAACACGCCAGATCCATGAGGGAACTCCACAATCCACGTTTGCGGGTAAGGGAAAAAGCGGCAGCCCAAGAAACAACGGGAACTGACCTCAAACCACTCATTCTGCTTAGGATCGATAAGCCTTGTGGGACTTGCGGGGAATGCCCGTTATTAACCAACTAGGTTCTACACAAATCCGGGGTCAATGTTAGGCTTGGATTGGTGGTTTGGGGAATTGAACGCCTGGTCTTTCTAGAACTTAAATAAGAGGGGAACCACCCAAACCACCAATTCCAACCAATTACAAAGACGATCTATAGCGCCTCGCTCCTTCCATTTGATTTGTCTCCCCCTGGAATAATGGTTGAACATATTTCCAGTCGTGAAATCGATTCCCTTTAAAACCCACAGGGGGAAATTATTTAAAATAATCATCTTGCTGGTGCTCAGCAGGGGGTGAGAAATGGAATGACTCTAACCATCCAATCCTTGGTTTCTCTCTGGGTTCATTCCCACATTCCCTACCTTTCACGCCAGAAGTCATTTCAGCAAGTGGACGTCACCCGCAAAAAAGACTTGCTGATGATGAGAAATGGGATGAACCTGAGGATCACCCCTAAAAGAAAACCAGCAGTTGGATGGTTTACAGGAGTCATTCCAAGTTCTCATTCCCTGCATCTCTCGCGCCAAGAAAACTTGGTTGCTTTGTGATAACCTGCTAAATGTGAACAACTTTTAGTGGTTTAATACGGAAAATTTATTAGTTGGCAAAAAGTTAAAGTCCGAACACCCTTGGCAACATGCACCAAAAACAGAGAGAGAGAAATGGCCGGAGCCGGGCCGCGTCCACCTGCAGCTTCTCCAGATACTGCCGCAGCTCGGGCTCCTTGAGCCCAATGGGCGCCTGGAAGACTTCCGGCACGTTGCGTCACGTTGCGTCCCAAAAAAGATTCGGTGCCATAGGTGTCCTGTTGGGGGAAATAGATGGGTTTCCCTGGTAGATGAGTAAACCAGCTGGTAAACCAGGAATCGAAACCCTAGAACAGGTTGATTCCAACCTTTTCAACGTTCTTGTCAAGAATCGATCGCTGTTTCCCCTGGGCTGTTGATGGTTTCGCTACGTTGCGTAAGAAAGACCGGCGGATCCTGGATCCAAACGTCGGACGAACAAACTAACAGATCCAAAGGTCCCAGGTGGCAAAGGGCAAAGGGAAGTTTTTTTTTCTTCCAAAAACAAAACCAACGTCGCTTTTTTGGTCTTGCCCCAATAGTCACCTTCGTTCTCGTGGATTTCGTTCGGGATCCAGAGGTCTCAGGTAAGGGAAGTGTGGGGCCTTTTGATCAGGCGCTGCCAGGGAGGGCAACTCGTGGGTTCCTTCAAGAACCTTCAAGCGCATGAACTAAGGGCATCCTCTAAATCAGCTGGTCGGCTGATTTTTTGGATGGCACCCGCATGTCCTCATCGCCCAACAGATTCCCAGGCCACTTTGAGAGCGCCTCATTGGAACGGGGTGGGGCACTTCCAAATACGAAAAACGTCAACTATGAATGAGTATTTCCTAGGCGGCTAGAATAAGGGCACCATTTTTTTCTTCAGTAGTTCTGTTTTAGTAGGGGAACCCTCCCAACCAAAAACGGCACCTAGCTGGGGGGCCTAGTTTCTCATCACCAAATGCCAGAAGGACCCATACAGGACGCTCCCTTTTGACACGCGGCCGGGCCCATGCGCAAAGGAACAACTGCGGCTCCTGCCCGAGCGCAATGCAAGACATTGCCGAGGAACAACTGTTTGGGTTGGAGTTTCAGCAGCTGGCTCGCATCTCCTCCCTCCGAAAAATCCTGGTTGAGCTTTGTCCAACCCTTGCACGGATGGGACTCTTTGGTTTCCGCACACTGGCCGGAGGCTCAGCCCACGGCTCCCCATCTCCATGATTAAACTGGGTCCATTGAAGTGGCACACTACACTGATCTTTGAAAAATTGTGGTTTCAAAGAAACCCATCCAAAGTAATGTTCGAGCACGGAAACGCAAAAGGCCATTTTGAGGGGCCCAGAACGAACCACCCCCCCCCCCCCCCCCCCCGCGCGCCAAGACCAGAGAGGAGCTGACGCTGGGGGCGTTGTTGTTTCCCTCCACTTCCTCCAGCTGCATCGAGCCGGCCTCAAATTAGCGGCGATTTCAAGGGAACCCCTTGCTTTCAAGGGAATTGGCGAACCCCCCTGTTTCTTTTAATTGGTTTTAAAGGGAAGCCAAAGGGAAACCGAAGCCCGTGGGGCTTTACCCGGAGCCGCTTGAAGGGGTAAAGGGTACCCACCGACATGGTGCGGTGCACAGGCTCCATCTTGGAAGCAATGCTCCCTCTTGCAGGTTGCGCCGTTGGAGGGAAGGCAATTCCCCCACAAGGGACCTGGGCAGGTACCCTCCGCCTATCATGCTGACCCCGGATGAACAAAACGCCGTGGAAGCAATCAGCTGCTTGAGAATCCAGGTGTCTCTCGGTCTTCTGTATGTTCAGACAAGCGTCAACCAAACAAAAGAACACACTTAGCAGAACGGCCCCCCCCAATCAACAAAAAGGCGATAGGTTAATACCCCCGAAAACGCAACATAGGTGTAGCCACACGATCGGCACAAATGGCGCGACACGATCTGGCTCGGGCGCAAACCTAAGCAAACAATGGGTCCCATTGCCTTGGGCTATGTCTTCCGACAAGAAATGATTCCAACTTATCGCAACATACCGTTTAGATTCCAGTTGGTGGACCAAGCGCTGGAATCGCCTGGAATTGCAGCGTGCAGCCTGCCAAGTGGTGCGAGCGAAAAAAGGTTGCAACCGTTCCCTCCTGCATGCCGGCCTTCCCAGTAAGGATGATTTGGGACTGCCAGTCATCGCAAACCCACCAAAAAATGTGCGTTGCGTTTAATGTGGAGTTGGCCGGACCCAAGCATTTCTTCGTGGACCCTTTTTGACCTGACCACCAAGTGCGCCTCCTCTTCCGTGATCCAGCGCAGCATCCTGTGGTTTCAGCCCAGTCAACCGCAGCGGTTGCTTCACAGTTTTTGCAATCGCCTGCTGTCCACACCCGTCAAACTGCCGGACGACAATGGGGGGTGGGGGGGGGCTACTCGCCAAACGGTGAGGGACTCGGGGATTGACCAGGAGGGCTTGACCTTTTTCAGCCCTGTTGGGTTGCAATTGGCAATGCCATTCCCTCACAAACTGGTGGGTCCCGTAATTTTTGGTTGGGGAAATTAGGTGGGCGATTGGACCTCTAAGATTCCGTAGTTTTAAACACCAAGCTGTTGAAACAACCTGCTTGGGGTCCCTTCCAAGGTGGCCAGGGTGCCCCCCGTTTTCAAACACATGGCAAGGTGTCAAAATGGGAAATAGATCCCCGAATGTGTGTGATTCCATCCCCCAGGGAGTAGGGCCAAGCCTTTACTCGAGAAAATCACCCCTTGCTTTCACAACTTCCTCTTGGTTTCCATTTGGAAGGGACAAGCTGATACTAAAGACTTTGTCGCTTCAACCGGCCTCACAAAAAGTGTGGCTCAAAGCGCTCTTGACGTTTTCCCCCCATCTCTCCTGGAACCGCCCCGCTCCGTGGCTCGCCAGCCACTGCCCAGGAACTGCTCACGCCGCTTCGGGTCCTGCGGAGATCCCCAGCTCAAAGCTTAAGTGGGCGAAATGGAAAACCCCACGAAGCACTAAAAAGATCTAAAAAGCTAAGGAACCGGATGCCTGGCTTCGCCACCAAGCTCTATGATGGCTAGCTGGTTTACACCCGGATTGAAGCCCTTGCAGTCCAGCAGGTGCTTTTGTCTCGTCTAAAAGCAGTACATTGCTGGCATATCGTGTGCTGAAGCCTGGCAAACATTCTGTGTATATTATATTATATACATAAATACAGATATAGATAGATAGATAGATAGATAGATGGATGGATGGATGGATGGATGGATGGATGGATAGATAGATAGATAGATAGATATATGTAGATATATGTAGATATATACAACATGCGTGTGTGTGTGCATATAACATTGGCTGACTTGTTAATGACTAGCAAGCTTTGCAAATGCGGCCGCAAGGCCGGCTTTGGGCAACTAAGGTCCTGGACAATTTTCCTCTGGTCGCAACCGAAAGAACTCTGTGGCAACGGTGGGGAGGCAATTTCCCCTCAAAAAGGGTTCTTACCAAAAAGTGCATCCGATTGATCATGTTTCCTATCAAGCGACCATACCTCTCTGACAGGGGTGGGCGCTAAGTCGTTGCCGAACATCTCACAAACAAACCGTGTGGAAGGCCATGACACGGCCATGAGAAGACCCTCCCCCCCCAAAAGAAAAGGAATTTGAGGAGCCCCTGGCAAAAGCCTCGGAGAACTGGTGGATTTTCGCCATTCGGTTTGTGCCCGAAGCCTAAGGTCAAGCGTCCAAGTGCACAAACGTGGCCATGGCAAACCCAAACTGTGTTTTTGTTGCATTCAGCATCGGCCCTTCTGTTTCTACCTCACTTTGGTTGCACGGAAGTTGCACTTGTTTTTCGTCTCTGGCAATCAGCGAATCTCAAAACATAACAAAGATCCTAGAGGGTTTGGCCGCTAGGCATCTGAATCTGTCGAGAAATGGGCTGAGAAAGCTCGGTCCTTGGTCGACACGTGGCCGCTCACCACCTCCTTTCCTGAGATACATGCGCCGGCGCCGGCGCCGGCCTGCTGACTAGGTGGCTTTTTCCCCATCCAAAAGTAATGAATCCCCACTAGACCTAGGGACGCCCCCCTGCTAATAAACTGGGGTTTATTCATCCGGGGTCAGCAATAACCAGGTCCCAAAGAACATTTACCTCTTGACCCCCCCTTTTCCAGGTAATGAAGAGCCCCCTGCAAGGTTGTTTGGGATATTTGTCCAATCATGGGGCAACGCCCCCGTTCTCTTGGAACTACCAGGGGGCCACAACCCTTGCTGACTCACCGCTTTGGGAGTGCTTGTGTATGTCCAAAAGGACGGAACCCACAGGCCAGGGGGGGTGTGGCGGGGTTGGGTTGCCAAGCAGCGGTACACGGTGCGCAGTCCAGGGAAGGACGGGGAGTCCAGCTCTTGGTGTTGGTACTCGGCGCCGGCGAGGTCCAGCTTCACCTCAGGCCGGCTGTTCGTCTGGAACACGGGAGGCCGTTTGGGCCTGGCCGTGGCACTGGCGTTTTGAGGCCTGCGAGGCACAAGTTAACACCTCGAGCGAAGGGCCGGTGCGAAGTCACAGAAGGATACCCCTCAGAGCAAGATGTGGAACTCCTTTCGGACAAGTTGGGTGCCACGTAAACGTGCAGAGTAAATGGGGATGCCCTGCCATGGTTCAAATCGCATGGCCGGCTTGGTGGCACTCTATCACATTTGACAACGGTCAAGGGATCCCCGCCAAGAAACAACAACAACAACACGCTCCTCAGCTGGTTTCATGCGTGATCGCCACAAGGGAGCCATCAGAAGGACAAACCTTAAACAACAATCTCAATCAAACAAGACTAGCTACCAGTTGTGACTAACGAGCTAACTGTTAATTTCAATCTGCCAAAAGGACATCCTCTCCAGTAATGATCCTTTCAAGATGACTCGGCGGATTGGGATGCTGCAGTTGGGAGAAAGCGAAGCTTCGCCTCAAAGAAACTCGGCGCAAGCTTCGCCATCTTTTTGGAGCGAGCTGCCATCGCTGGCTCCAGATTCAACGTCTCCTCAGGGGAAGCATCAAGGTAATAGCTGCCTGCGAACGCGGCCCAACCATAGATAGTGATAGTTTCCCTTAAACGGGAGGAGCGGGTGCCAACTTATGATTTGCGGCCACTACGCCAGGTGCACGTACACATGTCTTGAACAAAGGCACCCCTCCCCAAAACGCAAATTCTGGGGGTGGGAGACGTTTCGGGACCGTCCGCCGCTGCCGAAGAAACCAACAAAACAGCCGTCTATTCAACCAACATATGCATAAAGAACCGGCGAGACTCTGGCTTTGCCGTCTTCTTTCAATTGAACGCTTGTTAGATGTCCTACCCACCTGGACGTAGCCATGATTAGAACCATATGTATTGGCAACCTACCTGGACCCTCAAGCCACCTTAACAAAGTGCGAAATGAGTACATCCTCACACTTAGGGAGGTTTGATTGGGGACTCCACTGTGCTGTGGGTCGAACATCGGGCGATATCTTCCGGCCGTCCATCCTCCAGGATGCGCCGTGCTGTCTGCCGCAGATTCTCGTGTGTCTCCTGTCTTGAACCGCCAGATACCGCCAGGAGAGAGATGGATGGGGCCGAAAGGGCAGAGGGGTCACTTTTTTCGACCCGTCGGTGGTTCACCAAACTTGGGAAAAAGCAGGCTTTCGGGTGCTCCAAATGCACCCTTTCTCAGGATGGACACACCCTGCTTGGCCTACATTGGCCTACCACAATGCTTGAAATCCGAATTCGCTTGGATTCCCACGGCGTGTAAAATGTAGCTGACTTCTAAACAGGTAACCTCTGAAGCACAAACCTAAACCCTAAAACCCTGAAATCCCGAAAGCCCAAAACCCTACGCAACATCCAATAGATTTTGATACGTGTTTCCCTTCCTGGGTTTCATGTTGAAAAGCGCATCTCTGCCCTTGCTGAAAGCTAGGAATCAAGTTTGTTCTATCATTTCACCAGCGACAAAAATGCCAGATGGTACCAAAAGGTTGGCCCAGTAAAGAGGCTGACTGCTTGCAAAACCGACCCTGAGGGCCCAATCCCCCCCCCCCTCAACCCCCCCTCCCATTTGGGAGTCTTTAAACACGAATTATCCTTCCTAAGGCTTCCTCTCGTATTACGATCTTTCAATATATAACGCGCAACCCTACTTACCCTTGGGGGTGACCAAAACCCCCCTCCAACCCCACTCGAAAGGTCCGGCCTTCTTGCTCCCCGGAAGGCGGCCGGTCGCACGCACGCGGCCGTCCGAGAAGTGCTCCTGACTCGTTCGAACCTCTCGGCCGAGTGCTCCATCCGATGGAAAGTCCCTTGGTGGGTGAAGAAAACACCAAAACGAAATGGGTTGCCCTGGGGCACGGGGCTGTGGGAAATGGAATCCACGAATCTGCGATACAGCAGAAAGGGCTTCACAAAGAATAACCCCCCAGTTTAAGGGGGAGATTCCCTTGTATCACAGAAGTGGGGATAACCCCCTTGATCCCACAACCCTGCTAAAACCTTACCTAGGTCCTCCAGTAGAGAGGTTAGAATAAGGGCACCCTTTCTGCTGTAGTCTATTTTAGTAGGGGAGCCCTCCCCCCAAAAAAGGGTGAGAAAGGGCACTACTGGGGGACCTAGCCAAAATGGGTTGCTTTCCGGACAAGGCAATTCGGAATCATCACCCCCATGGAGTCCTCCACTTCAATGAGCAGACGCTCTTTGTCGTCCTTAGAGCTTGGCCGTGCCAAATGCGCCGTGGTCAAATTAGGGGGGAAGGGGACGTCTGGGTGAAAATCCTTGACGAACAGTGATACTGAGAAAGAAGCCATGGCAGTTGGATTGGACTGCTGCCGGGCGGATGAGCCCAGAAACCAGGTTTCATGTGTTGATTGCCGCCACTTCCCAGGGAAACCCCTGGGTTAAGAAGAATCCAAACATGAAAACAGCTGCCGCTACCGTCGCCGAACACGACACAACCCTTGCCCACCATACCGAGTCGGAGAAAGCGCTCAACAAAAAGAAACGGCAGACCAAGCGGAAGAACAAGCAGAGGATGCAAGCCAAGCAGCCCCCTCAGGCACTTCCTTGCGTCGGTAGTTTCAAGAAAGGAATCCAAAAGGTTGACGCCATTTCTAGGCTTTGGAGGCATGGGTTACAGCAGAAACGGCTTTGGAAGGCAGCAAAAACACGCTTGTACAAGTGGCAAAATCCAAAACTCCAAAACTTACACCTGAAAATTTCCTGGGCCTGAATTCTGTTTGCCTGTAGCCCCCTTTTTGCGACCATAAAAGGACCCCTCACACAAGTTGATCATTTCTTTTGGCAAGTCTGGACATTTGTCTGCCACCGAAATCTTCGAAACCCAAAACATTTGAATCTCTTGAAAAGATCTGTGGCGTGCGTCCTTTTTATTTGGGGACCCCAAACATGGTTACTGTTCCTTTTGCTTGAAGACCACACCAATAAAGCGGTACCCACAAAAAAGAGACCCCCCCCCCCCCCCCACAAATGCACATGATTCACAATCAAAAACCTGGTATTCAAATGGTCGTAATCCCAGAACCATGCTTCAAGAATTAAGAAGGCGGACTTCCGCAACTATTTCTGGCTGGGACTTACAAAAACTTCAATCCCCGGGTTTCGATTGCACGTGGCTCACATGTTCCTTGAAAACAAAGACCGACCCTTCGGAGCCCAATCTGGCGATTGCCCATCTGAGCCCAGTCTGAGGCGATCGCCACGAGTTTCAGCACCACCACGTCCTTCACACGCACCAGCTTCCTCGGCAAGCGCCGTGAAAGCAGGACTAGGTCCTCCAGATTTGAGAGGTTAGAATCAGGTGGTACCAATTTTTTGCTATTTTAGTAGGCCTCCCAACCGAAAAAGGGGTGAGAGGTCGGGCACCTAGCTGGGAGACCTAGAAGAGACGCCACGTCACAAGCACAGAATTCGAGGGGTCCCTGGCTTTTTGGGAGGTCGGGAGTCCACCGTGTCTCTCCCAAATGGACCATGGACGGAACATTTTGAAGGGTTCAACTCGCGTAGGGGAACACCCCCACCCCAACTAGGCTACCTGAAACCGGAAGACGGCGAAATCCCATCTAGTGTCAAACAAATAGGGACCGGTGTCAAAACTGGGATTTGGACCCCCCAAAATGGCTGTTTCTGGCTGCCATTTGAACCAACCTAACCAGCGTACCGTTGAAAAAAGACAAGTAAAGGGAAGCTACAAGGTTTAAAAGGCCTGGATGGTGTGAAAGGAAAACTGCAAGCAAGGCCTGTCCTTCCACGGGAAACCCCACATAAGGAATACCAAACTGCAGCTAAGCATCTTGTGCTCTGCTGCATCCAGCCTCGGACTGCAAGCCTTCACAGAACTAGGGGACATTGGGCCACAACCAGGACCAGGACAACTCCTCAAACGGCTACTGCTCTAAGATGGTTAGTGGCCGTATGGGTAGCTTCGGTTTGGGCCTGGGAACGGGGGGGAAGAGGGGGCAGTGACCAACATCGGGCAGTTTGCGCTGGGACCTATCACGGATGCCAAAGGGCAATGCAAGCAAAAGGCCCTGCACACGCCGATGCAAACCTGACCAGGCCAGACTAACCAAAACTTCAAAGAGGCAAGGGAATGAGCTGGTGCTTTCATCTGTTCAATAACTTTTAGTGGGATAAATACGGACACTCAACCACAAAACCAACGACCAACTAAACAGATCTAAGCTTTCTGGAACTGGATGGCTGGCTTCGCCTGCCAAAATATTCTTTCATCTTCTTTCGCTCCTTTGTTTTCGCCGCCTTCGCCTGCCAAAACGTCTTAACTCGGTTGGTTTCTGCTCCCCTGCTAAAAGTTTAACTTTTAGTGGTTCATGGAAAACCCATAGGTTGGCACGAAGTTAACGTCCTAACTAGGTCCTCCAGTAGAGAGGTTAGAATAAGGGTACCCATTTTTTTCATGTAGTGTATTTTAGTAGGGGAACGCTCCCCCCAAAAAAGGGGTGAGAAACTAGCTGGGGGACCTAGCTAACGTCCCAGCACCATGCAACAAAGTAAACATGGTGGCCAAAACGGGAAAAGCAGGTCACATCCGGTCGACTCGCTTTGGTTCCACGTGGGTTCGCTGAACAAAACCCTCGGGGACGCCAAAAATGGAGGCCGCGGCGCATGAGCCGCGAGGCCCCCGTCTCCACCTCCTGCGCCAGCGCCGCCAGAGGCTTGGCTTTGCCTGACCCGAAGGCCGCCTCAGAGAATCGTTTTGCGGGGAGCCGAGTCGGAGCCGAGGCGGAGCCGTCCCGCGCGATTTTTTTTGTTTTGTGTGGCTCAAGGGAAACCAAAGGAAGACCAATTGGAGGGTTTCAAAGAGACAAGCCCATTTGGCTTCGCTTTGGCTTCCCGGGAAAAAAAGCAAAACAACACCCCAAACTTTGGCAGGCTCAGGAAAGGACAGGCCCATAATCCCCTATGAAAGGGTTGACGGGAGTTTCTTAAAATGATTTTCAGACCCCCTTTTTATACTGGTTGGCATTTAACAGGGAAGCTAGCAAGGGAACCACACTTTTCAGGGGACCAACCCCCACGACAACGAGGGCGTGTTGACCTCGAGCTGGTCATCGCTTTGCAACAAGCTGGGCAGAAAGCAAATGCTTGGGGCTGCGAATTCCGCGACTAGTTAATGGGCAAGTGGAACTCATCAAAGGCTTCCTAGTAAAGTATTGAAAGTACGCATCGATGACTGGCCGCTCCCCTTCCAAAAGGATCCTGGCACTCGGCAACGGCATGGGGCGCCTTCAATCTGCCCGCAAGACTCAGTGCCTGACGGTCTTGATGTTGTACTCCGACAAGAACTGCGCAAAAAGCCTTGGCAATTTCAGTGTCATTGGCCAGCATGATCTTTGACTGATTTCAGCAAGGCTCTGAGATCTCAGCGCACCCCCCACTCCCATCTTTGCCATTCAGCCAGTCAAATGTTCCCCCAAAGCGGTCTGGAAAGGAAGGCCCCTGGTCACACCTCTCCAAGGGGCGGTAGCTCCACTCCCGGCACGGTGGACCTGAGCGAAGGGCCGTCGAGCCAAAAGGCAACGCCAACCTGATCTAGATCCTCCAGTAGAGAGGTTAGAATAAGGGTACCAACTTTTTTCTGCCGTTAATTTGAGCAGCGGAACCCTCCCCCAAAAAAGGGGGTACAAGGGCACTACTGGGGGACCTAGTGGTGGATGAACAGCGGGCTGCCCCCACAGAGTAACACATTCTCTCCCAAATGGGTTCCAGAATCCACTAGGGTTCGCACCAGATTGAAAAAGTAGATGGCGCAGGCCCCTTTCTGCCGCCCGGGGGGGGGGGGATAAAGCCAACACGGTTGCAACGAAACTGTGCCCAGCCCGCAGTTTGGGCTGTGGCTTCTGGTCCACGTGGGGCCAGGTGCTTTGATTAGGTTCACCCGCATGCCAAACTCGCTTCCGATCGAGTGGACGGGTCAGGAAATGCAACCAGACTTTTGGCTTACTAAAATGAACCAAGCCCCAAAAAGTGACTAAAACAAGGTTCGACTTTGGAGCTGGGTTCCAGAAAATGGCCACTGCGCAGGTGGCGGAGACTCAACGCCGGATGGAACTCTGGCAGATCGGCTGGGTTCAAACGGGGTCCCTAATTCTGATCCCTAGGTCTTGGGACACAACAGAAACCAACAACACTGTTGCGAGGGTGATTTCGGATTTATCCTCTACAGCAGCCAGGGCTTCAAATCCAAATCCAAGCCACCAACCCAACGCATCAAATGAGGGATGACCCCAACCTCTCTGGAACAACTCCGCCGAGTTGCGGCGACGCCGGCCTCGCTGGTGCCGCGAAGCCTGTCGGGTTTTACGCGGACAGAAGAAGTTGGACTCGGAGGAACCCCCTTTTACGGGGCTGCAGCTGGTGTCATCAGAAGCCCACATCTGAGAGCAGCACCTTTCAGCAAGAAGGGAAGACAACTGAACACCTACACAAAGATATGGCCCCCCCACAACTTTTTGGAATAGGCATGCTGGAAGCTGCACCGCCCGCTTCTTCCTGCTTGTTTGATCAGGCTAGTCTGATCCATTCATCACCATCACATTATTATTTCACCAGGGGCAGAACCTAAAAGTAACTGATGCCTGGTGCCCACAGCGAGTTCGTTCAACCAAAGCTTTGCTTGAAATGGTTCATGATTTTGGAGGCAGCCCAAATAATTTTAGGAAATGGACCAACACCCGTTTCCACGCCCACGCCCGAACTCGCCGGGACCCCGCACGCCGCATACTTTGGTGCTTCCGCATCTCGTTGCCTTGGCTCTTGGCAATCAACGCGGGTGCAATTTTTCGCGGCCTGAGAAGAAGCGAGATGTTCCACATTCTCAGTTGCCACAACACACCAGAAATAAAGGTCAAGCTTTTGGGAAGATGAATAGAGCAACTCAGCGAAAGAAAAAGGTCAAACAGCCGGCTTTGAGCAAACAAGTATCTTGAGTAAAGGCTTTTTTTGGGATCAAACAGGTCTTCCCTCAAAAAGGTTCCGCCAGCAGGCGTTCCGGAATTGGGAAACCCCACGGGCCGTGGAAAGTTGGTGACACTCTGGACTTCATGTAGGTGAAATTGATGTCCTACTTGCGAGGCTGTTTCCGATTAAATTTCGTGGGACATGAGAAAACCCTTGCAGGATCTAACAGAGCATGCTGCAGAAAACACACGTTGCCGCAGCCAGGCGTTAGTTTTCAGGCGTTTTCATACCAAAGGATACCAAAGGCTACCCTAGATTGAATGATCTGTGGTAAATGAAGCACTCCGCCAAGTTGACTCATCCTTGGTCATTGTTCAACCATCTGATTTAAATCCTTTCTGCCATCATTTCAGCCAAGGGCAACGATGCAAGATAGTGCCAAACGTTGGCTCAGGATCCTCCCTGCCTGTTGGCTTCTGGGTTTCCCTTTGTCCACTGAAGGGCCCTAAAATCCCCGACGGCTTCCACGTAACGTTGGCCCAGCTTCGGCTTCGGCTTCGGCTTCGGCCAAAATGCGATCGAGGCACGGGGCAGCCACTTGTAGTGCCAAGTCCTGCCGTGGCGGTCGCTCTGCGCGAACTCCCGGGCCTCGTGGTTCCTCGGCTCACCCCAACGCGAGCCCGAAGGAACAGCCCCGAACTGCGGTCCACTGGGGGGGCACATTTTTCAGCTGAGTTGAAATGGCCTTTAAAGGTTGGCCAGGCAGAAGGGAATCTACACCCTCAAAGCCGAAACCTGCGAACCCTATCGACCCGAAATCTGAAACAAACACGTATTCAAATAGACAAGCCCGACGACACCCGAAGCCCAATGTTCGACCCCAGAAACCCGGAAATCCTAGAGAGCACCAGGACCGAACCTTAAAATGAGCCCGGGTGGCATCACCCGTCGCAACCGCTCGGAGCACAATCCAACCGCTGCGCAACCCATCGGAACCCTTAGCAACCTCTCCGAATCAAACCAACTGCTCCATGAAGCCCTTCGGAACATCCACCCCATAGCTTGGACCCCTGGACACTTTGGCCCCCGGGGCGGGCGCAGACGCAGAGAGGCCCAAAAGCAGAACGTGCGCTTCAGAACTTCACCCTGAAGCTGCAAACCAGCGTCCTGCTTCACTTACCAAACCGCGCTTCCCCACTTCCCGCCAAGGCTCAGCAATCTGTAGGGGCGATCCTGCCACATCTCTCACTCAAACTCTTTAACCCTTTGGGTCTGTGAAACTTGAGGAGCGGGTGAACGAAAGCTAGCAGTTGTTGCATGAGATGGGTCGGTGACAGAGTGGATTCATAGGTAGCTTGTGTACAACGAGAGGCCCGGCAAGATTCGTAGGATGCGACACGCAAACGCACATGGTGGCGTGGCAAACCTTGAAAAATGAAAACAACGAGAGGCGTCAGAAGCTGTCTTAAAGCACCTCTGGGTTCTGCATGCTGCGTGTGCAAAGATTCTTGCGAGGTGGTTTACCGAGAAGACTGAGGTCTCAAATGAACAAGCTGAATCGGTGGAACATGTAAAAGTTCGTAGCACCAAGTCCAAAACGGGCAAACCGAGACTGCTGAACACTGAGCCACTGCCCGGGGGGGGGGGATGGACCAGGGAGGAATCGAGCCTGAGACCGGGGGGGGGGGAGGGGGGGGGGGGTCTAAATAATTGATATTTTTCAATCTTTTCGGCTCAAATAATGAAAAAATCAATCTTTCGGCATTTGAGCCCCTTACCTTGCTTACGCAAGGAGAAACTTCAGCTAGCTAAAGCTAGCTTTCGTGACTAGCTGGGCGCCAAAATCTTCAACGCGCAGCTGGGAACCATTCTTCTTTCAATCCAGGAGTCCAATCAAAACTGATTAAAGCTGGCTGACCATCGGGGGTTGATCATCTGATCGCACTCTCCACCCTACCCCCCCATCCATTTTTTACCCTAGAAGCCCAAACACAGCTGGGGTCCCGATTTCAGACCCCGAAGCACAATTGATGGCTACGTGGGCTCCATGGGGTTTTCCGCAGCTTGAAGCGACCGGCCAGCACTGCCGTGCCAGAGAGTTTTTCTGGAATGAAAGGGTTCCAGGAGAAACCAATGGTCGAACTCAGCCCGAAAGCCAACAGCCTTCGCTGGCTCTCGGGCTACATCCCGGCCCTCAGCCAAACACGGCGGCTTGGGCCTTGCTCTGGTGCTCCATCTGCATCCGGTCCAGCAACGAGTGGCGCCTGAAAAGCGACTCCCAACTGCATCTTCGAATATGGGTGTGTCTTTTTGTTGAGTGGCTTCCACGGGCAAACCAAAAGGACACCAACCATTTTGGCGGAGGTGAAACTGGTATGTGGGTCCAGGTCACGGTTCCCTCTTAGCAACCTTTACATTGGCTGTCTATCCCCACATGGTCCATGACCGCTACCAACCTCCAAGTCAGCAGGTTTTTTGACCATGGCACACGTGGCAAGACGACTGAAGCGCTACACGCCCCCTGCCTCCTCTTCACACCTTGGTCCACTGCTTCCTCGAAGAACTCGGCCCCCCCTTCCACGGAAGTAAAGCTTTCCACCGAGTCCCTGGCGGATTGAGTGGGGCGCGGCCAGGCTTGAATTTCAAACGGGGACCACCCAAATGGGGTCGTCGACACCTGAGCTGTTTGGGGCTGAGCCATAGGTAAACCTTTCTGCCTAATCCACGGCTTGAAGTGAGTTCCCGTTCGGTTATGGGCTCCTCCGAGCCGCGAGGAGCCCATCAACCCGTGCGGTTGCAAACCACCACCCCAAACCACCAGTCGAGTCAGAGCCTTTGGCATGTTTGGTGGACCCAACTCCCCATGCACACGTGGGTGAATGTAGATGGCAGTATATTTTAGTAGGGAAACCTCCCAACCAGAAAAGGGGTGAGAAAGGGCACTACTGGGGAACCTAGTCAAAGTCCAGGAACTCAGGGGGGCGAGCCATGGCTTAAGGCTCACAAGAGCAAGCACTAAGAGATTCAGAAACCGAAGCGTGAGATGGCCAAGCGGCGCTCTCACGAAGGGCCGCTTCCGGGTGCCTAACATGAACGCGGGTGTATCGCGACCACGACGCACCCGCAAAAAAAGCAAACACGCAGGCATTACAGTAGCCCAACAGCCCAACAAAAGCAGCAGCCCACCACAGCCCACCACAGCCCAACAGCCCAGCCCAGCAGCCCAACAGCACAAACATCTCTGCCTGCAGTCGCCAGCCTGGCCCTTCACCTCCCCGAACCACTGCTCGGGCATGAATTTTGGAGAAGGGGAGTGACACGCCAGCAATTTCAGAAGACGACCAATGCCGACGTTGTCTTTTCACCAGCCGGATCTGAATAATTATCTTCGGACTCTTCAAAGCACCACTCTGGTGCTACTGAGGCCTTATTCGCAAAACGGTGCCTCCTTTTTGCCGTATAAGGGTTAGTGCCAAAATGGGAGGATTGCCCAGCTCCACTGGGCAGCTCCCCTCAGCAGCTGATGGGAGTAGGATTGATGCCACTCCCACAGCGAGGGAGGAATCCTCCCACCTCACCGGATGCCCTCCCGGCATCATGGGTGAGGAAGGAAAGTAGCGAAGATCAGTGTGATCAATTCGCTTTCGACTGAGGGGAAGACCCGGTTCTCAGTCGGAAATTGCGGGTCCGGATGAGTAAGTTCATCCGCCCACGTGTTAAAGTCGCGCTTCACATGCGACGGCCCCAACATGACCTGCTGGTCATGCAGCGTTAACACAATTTCCATGAGGATGGCCGCATTGGGCATCCTGCGAGTGGAATCGTTAAGAAGGGAGAAAACATTTCCCTGGTTATCACTAGCAACCAGGATCCTAGTGTGAGAAGCCGAGCCGGCTGCACAAAGCAGAACGGCCCTCACCAAAAGGAGGAGGCCGAAGAGCTCCAAGGCCGCTATCGCCCGCTGCGGGTCCCCAGTAGTGAAGGCCCACGGCTCGCCCTCCGGTGTGATTCTGTGCTGGAACCACTTCACACGGGACTTGTCGGGGTTGGGCACGTCCGAGCACCAACCACCAACCCATGCATGGTCTGCCTGTCTGCCAGCTCCCGCATCAGATGCCCCCGTCCATGGGAGTGTGGGAGCAAACGGAGATGCCAGTGGGAACCTCTGGTTGAAGAGTCTCCCCAAAAGGATGGCCAGAGCACGAACCAGCTTCGGTGGCCTGCCCGAAGTGGTGCAGGCCTTCTTCCAGCTCCAAAAGGGCTGGAGGAAAGGTTTCGTCAATGGGCATGCCGAAGTAGCCCATTGAATACGGCCTAGGGCTTGTTCCACCTCCTTGCTGGTGAAGATGTCCCCCTGGGCCAGCCGTTTAAGAGTGGCCAGGATTATGACGTGTTTGACTGGAGCCAACAGTACACAGGGCGTGATTGGGTCCACCACAAAGCCCAACCAGGTATTGATCGGGGAGAGCGCCGTCTTTTTCCAGGAAAGCGGGACTCCCAGCGCCAGCAGTGTAGCCAGGATGGCTGTGGCGTCCCAGTCCGCCCGGCTGCATCTGAGGACCCAGCAGTAGTCGTCCACAAAGACTAAGTGCCAGTCCACCTGAGGGAAGATGTAGTACAAGAGTCTGAGCACCAAGGATGCCTTTCTTCCCCAGTACAGTTGTGCCGAGGCCATGCCGTACGTGCCCACTCTGTTGACCCACCACCGGTTTTGGATGCAGGCCACCTGGTATTTCCAGTCTTTCGGGAGCACTTTTATACGCCTGTGGGCCTTGGTGACATCCGCCTTGAGGATGATGAAGGTTTCCCCCTGTGTCGGCGGCTGCCACATCAGGGGTTCCCCCCTGATCCCCCCAGGGCGTTCCGTGCCCGGGGGGGTTGGGGGGAAGGGGGCCCTCCTATCAGGGCCCTCGGCACCTGGGAGTGGTCCCTTCCCTGAGGGTGTCGACCCCAGAGAGACGTCCAGGCCGCCGGAGGTATCCATCCTCCCCCTGCCCCGATCAGGCCCCTCGGACCTGGGGGGCAGGCTGGTGCTGTGGGGGTCCCTCTCAGGGCCCTCGGCACCTGGGGACTGCCCCTGCACCGGCTGGTGAACATCCCGAGGTCTCTCCTCAGTGCTCGAGAGCGTGGCTCGAAGTAGATGGGGATGGTCCGTCGCTGTCCTGAGCCAGTGGATGGCGTGGAGGCAGTCTCCAACCATCGGTGCAGTGGTCTTCTCCCCCGTATGAGCCTGGATGTGTGCGTTTGCTCCCCCTTTCGAGCCATCGTAGATCGTCCTGATCTTGTCTGACTCATCAATCCCCGCAAGGGGGCCCGGGCAAAGTTCCTCCGGTTTGCAGCGGCACCTCTCTGCCGCCTCCGACCGGGTGAAGGGCCCGTCCACCATGTCCAAGGCTCGTTCCTCGTAAAAGGTTGCCTCGATTTCACTGGCAAAGAGTTCAGCCGTTGGGTAGTTATCATGGGCCACCGGCGGGGGGGGGTCTTCCCCCAGCCAGGCTTCTCCCTTAAGCTCCTCCTTAGTCGGCCAAACTCCGGGGGAGGTCAAGGTAGGGTCCGAGACTCCCAAGGGGACCCCCTCTTTCAGTGTCAGGGGGAACTCCCAATCAGGGTCACCTGAAAGGGATGCCAAGTGCGAAACTAGGTCCAGGAGGAAGGGTTGCCCTGGGCATCGTTCATGGAGGTGCCTAGGTCCCAGGATAGCCCGCAGCTCATCGAGGTCGGCTTCCTGGAAGGGGTGTGTGGTGGCACCTGATGCCAGGGACATTCGGACCTTGTCAATCCAAGGCCGGGTAAGGGTCATGATCAGGGCGCCCAAAGTAGCCAAAGGGGAAATTCTCCGAAAGGGGGGGTTGAGCCTCCCCGGGGAAGGTTTCCCCCCCCCATCCCTCAGGGGGCGTGAGCGGAAACCCAATTGGACAATCGCAACTCGGTCAATGAGGCGTGGGACCCTGAAAGCGGGCAGGCATTCGGGGCGGTCCAGGACCTGGTCCCCATGTTCTTCCTTCCCCAGTTGTTCCGCATCTCCGGCCATCAGGGGCATGGGAGATGGGAAGTCTGGGTTCATTGTTCCTCGAGGGCTTACGGTGTCTGCCTCAAGGTGGATGTGCCCCTGCTGGCGGGGCTTCGGGGCATTCTTGCCTCCGGGCTTTGGGCCCTGGTGTGATGAGGAGGGACCGCCTCCCTGATTGGGTCCCCGTTTCCCCCGGGGGGAAGGGCCCTCCGGGGGGTTCCGACCCCCGCCCCTTAGGTGGTTCCTTAGGGTTTCCCGGGAATTGTGAGGGGATCCGGATGTGCCCCGGCGCTGCGAGTGACACAGCGATGGCTTTGGCCAGGCCTGCCATCATATCCCAAGGGTATCTGCTAAGAGTCGAGGACTCGTTGGTGCCCACATGTGACTGATGCGTGCACCGCATTTGATCCCAATCCTGAATTGGGAGATCCGTGGCTAGCGTAGTGGCCTTCTTGACCAGCTGGCCCAGGCGGCACTGGTCGAAGGAGATTGCTGTCAAGGAGTTTTCCTCCATCCAAAGCTGCCCCTCCTCCGTGATCCAGAAGGATGAGCATTCCTTGGCTTTGGGCAGCGAGCTGCTCACCACTGGGTCCTCCGGGTGCTCCAAGAAGGACTTTGGCCCTGGCAGAGAAACCGCCGCTCTTGAGGCCCTTGCCAGGCTGGTGATGTACATCTGCCTCAAAATGAGGATACTGTCATCATCAAGCTGAGTCTGGGCGGCCTGGTCCAGGTGTGGGAGGCCCCAAAGTGTCTCTCGAGTGCGCCCTCGCACCGGGGTGGGGGCCCCCGGTTTTGGTATGTGGCGCAGGATGGACCATGTCCTGCAGTTGGGTCCTCCTCCAATGAAGACCACTCGGCCCTGCTTTGCTGCCGTGCAGAGAGCTCCATATAGCTCGGGTTGGAGCATGTCGGTGGTGTAGGATGTCTACCGCCACCACCATGCTGGAAAGGTGTGGGTAGTTGGCATGAAGACAGCTGTCCAAGGAAGTTGGGTCTTCCTTGCCTGCATAGAGCAGGACAATAATGGGCCCACTGGATGGAACTTTGGGTGATGTGCCCTGTGTCCATCTCAGCCGCTGTACCAAACGCTCCGGGATGTTCTCCATCCACGGGAAGATGTCCCATCCCGGTGACGGCTCCGTGGGACTTGTCAGGGGGGTAGCTGAAAGGCGCTGGCCCCCTTCATTCAGCCCAACCGAGCTCTTATGAAAAACCACCGGGTCCTGCTTGATGATGTTGGGCGCCGGAAGTGGGATCGGCTGCCTCCTGGGCGTGATCCTTGGCGTTGCGGTGTGCTGCCAGTTATCCGGCAATCGGGCCTGCTGGGCGCGGCCCCCCGTGTCAGGGCCCTTGGCACCTGCGGGGAACCGTCCCGTCCCTGCCGTTTCAGGGCCCTCGGCACCCGTGGCACGGGGCTGAGGCGCCGCCGTTGTGCCAGCTGTGTGGTTGTTCTGACCCCAGCGAGGGTGTTGTGCACGCTGGTTCTGCCGTCCCCATCCTTGTTCCGCCGAGGATGGCCGCCACCTGGCCTGTCCCCCCCCTGTGTCAGGGCCCTCGGCACCTGCAGGAGGGGGCTCATGTGCCTGCTTGGGGCGTTTGCGCCCCCTCTCGCCCCCCCGGGCCTTATCAGGGCCCTCGGCACCTGAGGCCTCCCGGGGGGTCGGGGTCAGCGCCCCTAGTCAACCCGGGCAGTCCTGCGGGAGGTGGTCTCCCAGGCAGATGCGGCCCGTTGCCAGGATGAGGTTGCACTTGTGGGTGCGTCCGCAGTTGCCCGGGCAGCGCCCGCGCATCCAGTTGTTACAGAACTGGTTCCCTTTCGGATCGGTGGCCGCCTGCTTGTTACCGCCCCTGGACGCCTGATTGTTCGGCTGGGGGGGCTTACCTTTCCCTTTGCTCCCAGGCTTGCCCCTAGACTTCCCCTTGCCCTTGGACTTGTTCTTGCCCTTCTGGGGTGGTGCGTAGTCCATGGATGTCCTGGTTTGTGGGCGGCCCCTGGAAAAGGTCCTGATCTTCTCATAGACCTCACGTGTCCAAAACAATGTGTCCTGCCTGACCGACAGCATGGCCGCCTTGA